ATGTGAACCACACGGAACAATCACAATAAAATGCATAAAAAACAGAGCTATTGTAAAATAAGTCTTTATAGCAAATAATCATAAATAAAGCACTTTTAAACTTCTTCACAAAAGCTCTGCACAAATCCCTTCACTTTTCTGCTACTGTTTGCAAACGGTACCAACTTCTAATTCTCATCAGTTTTGCTCGTAAAATCACTTACTTTGAAAGGCCCAACTTTTTGGAAACACTCCCCATATTTGTAAATTGCATACACCATTAACACGCACAGAAAAATACAAATCAAAAGTGAAAACAAGTGAAATAATGGACCTACTGGATTCTCATGTCCTTGTAAGAAAAGGAGGAAATTTATGGATTGAAGAGTAACTAAAAAGTAGCAGAACCTCGAAATGTAGGAGACGCCAGATTGTCCAATTTTGTGTACAGTCTCAAGAGTGACATTTCCAGAAGCCTGGTGCAAAATAAGCACAAAATGAAGTCAAATGCCCGAAAAGTGACATCAGCAGGGCATGCAAATATGAAGCACGCATTTAACATGACAGCATATTTTAAAGGCGACAGGATAGTAAGAAGAGAACACTTAATAAGTCTTTCTGGTTTACAAGTGTTCATTATTTCTTTTATAAGCATGTGCATGCGAACGAATATTCTGTTACTGTTCCACCCTCTCTCTTAATATGTTTAGTTCGAGAATTTTTCAGTTGATTGTGTGCTAATGTTGAGTTTTTCATGGAGCTGGATAGCAGAGAACAGAGAAGACTGATAAAGAAGTGCAGCAGCAGAAATTAAGTTTATGGTTAATCAGAACAAAAAACTCTGATTCCAATTGTAAAATACTCCCTGCCATCTGTCAAATTACAAATACCCTTTTTGATATTTCATTCATCTATAAATTACTCTATCAATCAGGGGATATATATTAGTTATAAGAATATAAACCTCAAAAAGAAAGACGTGAAGGGGGTTTAAGTAACTGTTTAAGTTGAACAATTTTTCTTTCATAATAAGTCACACCTCCTTGAGTATTTTTAATATAATTGTCCCTGAACTTTTTACTTACGAGAAAAATAATGCAAAAGGCTTTGCACTGAAAAAACAAAGAGATGATGAATTTCAACAAATTTGAAACTTGCCTCTGTCTCAAACCTCCCATTAATCAAATCCACAGCCTCTTTAAGCATGGATACATCAACGTCCCCATCAGACAACGGGACCACCATATTGTCCAGCATTATCCTAGTCAAGGATGTCTTGGTTGTGGACCCATAGTGTAAAACTTGCTTTACTTCCTCGAGAGTCCTTGTTTCAACCTGTAAGCAGAAGCATGTATTTTGGGTCCTCTCATTCACCAATATTATTAATATTGGGATACTCAAATATTTCTTTAAATTAATTTGTAAACAGTGGCCGATATATCAAACAAACTCGATTCACTAACTCGAGTTGGTCAAGTTAAAATGAATTAATTGATTATACAACTCAGTAAATCAACATCAATTACTTAAAAATTCTGGTTATCTGATGGAAAAACACTCAGTTTTGATAGTTGACCTATTTGAAGATTAAAAGGCTAATGCACTACCTCAACACCCATTTGAAGATTATTTTGCTGCAAATAGAGGTCCACGGATTTCAAAGCATTCGTGATACCTCCAGCTATTGATATATGATTGTCTTTTATCATGACCATATCAAACAAACCCATTCTGTGATTCTGGCCCCCACCAATTAAGACCTAAAAGATAAATGAAGAAAAGGTCAAACAAAGTACAATTAACAATGGCAAATTAGTAATATTAAGCCTGGATAAGGAGTGAAGATAGTGATCTACACCGCCCATTTATCCACCAAACGTAAGCCTGGAGCAGTTTTTCTAGTCTCCAGAATGTATGCAGGCTGTGCAGCATCAGCCATGGCCTGCAAGTTTATTCAATATCACTACTCCATGTAATAAATATATGTTGTATGTTAAAGCCATCTTTCAAGATAGAGGATCACATCAGGGGCTAATTACAAAACCATTAGTTTAGCTTAATTATGAAACACATTTATCATTTACAGACATTCCAGGTGTTAAAGTAAACATTTAGTTCGCATTTGCTTTACCAAATAATACAGTTCTGTCGATAGTATAATTTGTCAAAAGGAAACAAAAGTCAAGGATGCATTTTTAATTAAAAAACAGAGCCTTTTGTATTTAGATAAACCTCAAGGATATCTGTTGTAATGGCCTTAAGTCAATAAACATAATAGTTTAGAAACACATTATCTAGGTGTTAACAGAACACCTTAGTTAGAGTTGCTATTCCACTCATTCTCTGCATAAAGTTAAGGACAACCCTTTCAGCAACAACTATACTGTGCGCTCTACCTGCATGTTTACTTTAATCAATATAAGAGTAAAGTTACGAGGATAAAAAATTGCTGAAACAAAACTTGGGTACAGTTACAAAATTGCCCAAGGTTTAAACTAATTACAGAAGGAAAACAAACATTTATCTTCCAGAATTATAAAACCTCGTTGTAGTTTAATTGTCATAAAATGGTGAAACCTGGAGCACTCAAGAGGGGGCCATTTGTAGGTACATACATATCCTCAGAAGTTATGTGTCACTTCAAATATAATTGAGTTTTTTGTAACCAGACGAAACCTCGAGCAATTTTTGTATTAAGCCATAAAAAGATTGGTTTCACAGGAATTTTAACATCGTTACCCTGTACTTTCCCAAATTGTAGGCCTTTGTGTACCCTATCACCATCTTTTCTATACCAGTCCACCTGATGATTACTCAAACAACAAAATTATTTTTTCCCATAACTTCGAGATAAATGCAAAGAGAAAAAGAACTTGATGAAATGTAAGTGCTTACTCACCTTAAGTGAGGGATCCACCTCATTAAATATCATTTCTGCTAGCGAAATACCAGCCACAATCCCATCCTCCTTTGCCAGAAAATGTGCTTCGACTTCCATTTGAACAGGAATTGTTGCTTTACATGTCACATCACCTGGTTTAATCATGTGAACACATATCGAATTATTTTTTGAAGTCAAGAACACATGACTTTTATCAAATGAAAAATTCTTTTTCAGCTTCTGTCAAAGTAAGTTTTATCAATAGATTAAAACGGCACGTCCTTTTAGTGATATAGGCTGCACAATTTGCTGCAAATTACAAAATTTAAATTCTTAGACCAACAAGCTCTTCCTAGTTTACAATGTTCAAGTCAGAAATGACTGCTGTATGGCACAGATAACTAAACTCTTTCATGTATGCAGTATGAACAACATAACAACATAGTCGGATCAAGAACACATGTTTTCCCACCGTCTTACTGCATTTAATTATAAATGTACTACGTAAATCACTCTCGTTATTACTCACTTTCCAATAGTGCTGAAGGCAGTTCTTCAATAAAGATGGTTTTATAAAAACCGGGCTTTTCAAATCAGTCCTTAAACAGTAGTCTCAGCGTGAAAAATACTTCCTTGAGCTTACGGATGTGAGTTCCTCCTATCTTTTTCATTAAAAACGTTATTTATATTCATAATTCACTACCTTAGAGATTTTCTCAACTCCTTATAAACTTTCTAACATAACACCTAACCTGCAGTGAAAAAGTAGTAATTGGAGTTAAGATTTTGGACGGGTGTGTTAGATTTCTATTTTGCTTCGGATTTCATTTTCACACTCAAAGAAAACAACTTCCAAATAATGAACAGAAACACTCTCTTGAACTCGGAAATTTTTTTCAGCTCCTACTTACAAACACCATCAAAATTCTAACTTCAGAGGCAAAGTAATTCACTTGTTCCAAAAGCCCAGAAGTTTTTTCCCCAACATTCCCTTTTATAACACTTTCACATAATTATCCTTCTTTTCTAAATAAGGGCCTCACTGCATTTAAACCATCACCATATTTAATTGTTGATTAAAGCTAACCCTTCCAACATCAAGATAAAAAGAAAAACAATAACAAATTACAATTACCCTTTTAACAAAACGAAAACAATAGATAACATGAAAACTAGTGAACTTTGACCTCGATCGCCGGCGTCCTCGGAGAGTGCCAACTGTATAACGGCCTTGAGGTCGTAAGTGGGGTGAGCCGGTGGTTTAATCGACAGAGACCCAGCTGGGATTCCGACGTCTTTCATGGCCGTCGACGACATTTTCGTTACCAATCTATGAAATTCAACCAAAACACGCACAAATTACCAAAAGTTACTAGAATTATGTGTAAAACAAGAGAATCAAAGGAAACGAAAAACAGAGAGAATAGCTTTTAGTACTAACCTCTTGGTATAGGGTTTGAGAGATAAGAATGGAGAGAAGGATAGGGTTCCGGTCATTACTGCTTTTATTTCGATTAATCTAATCACGAAAATTTTCGCCTTTCCCCATGGAAGGGTTCTTCATTTCGCGTGCACAGAAAATTGGGCATATAGCGGACGATAAATGATAATGATCCACACTGCACTGCGATCAAAGATTAAATCAATCATACCACATCGCTTTTGTTTGTTAGGATTCTGCGGGATTAAAGGTGATATCGGTTTACTTGCCCCAAAAACAAACTTTAGCCCATGTTTGCGAACATGCACAAAGGTAACGCAATGATTGAGACCAATAAATAAACTTTAGTTGAACAACTCAACCATTGAGAGCATGTTTCTTTATAAGATTTTTCAAAAAATTTCCGACATTTTAACTCAATCATTTTTTTTAACTCAATTTTAACTCCACACTACTATTATTAATATAATTAAATAATATCAATCAATCATTCATACACATCACATCAACCTTAATTCACTATTCATCTACTCACATAATTTTAACTAACCATCACATCACATCTTCTCTCTCCTACTTTTACATTAATTTAATTTTAATTATTTTATTTTAAATATTATTTTAATATATCCACTAACAACTAATCATACCACTTTTTCAAAATTAACCAAACCAAACAAAAAAATCCAAACAAACCCAAAAAATTTTATAAACAAACATGCTCTGAGTATTTTTTGGTTTGTCACTTATGAGAGACAGGGACGCAGCGACGAAGTCAGAATTTCAAAATGAATTTCAAAATTTTTCAACACATGTACATACATTTATAATTAACTGACACACTTTAAATTATAATAAGAGTAATGCTATGTGTACATAATAAATGTACATAGAGTTGTACATAACACTCACATGGAGTGGGGTCCACTTGATTTTTAATTTTTGGTGGATCCCACTCAATGTGAGTGTTATGTACACCCCTATGTACAATATTATGTACATATAACATTACTCCACTACAACATAAATAGCTTTATGTAACATCAAAAATTTGATACATAATAGCTTTAAAATGTTACTATAGACAATAGGTAACACAATTTTGGCGCTACAGTTGCTCGTGCTACCTATTGTCTATAGTAATACTTTTGACATCTTTTGGTAACACTTATCTTTTATATTACATTTAATTAATCTATTGTAATACTTTGATGTAACGCTTACTACATGTTATCTATGACCCTTTATGTAACACTTTGTCAAATGTAACATTATTTTGTATCACTATTTTTTATTAAAACGTATCATTTTACTTCCTAATTGTATCACTTTCCCATAACACTTAAATTATTAGTGTAACACTTTTATTTGAAATATGTATCAGTTTTCATTTATAATGTAACACTTTATATATATATATGTGACATTGTTCGATACATTTGGTAACAAAAAAAATTTTAATAAACAAGCATTCAAATAATCATTGGATATACAACTATGTCAATATACATAAAGACAAGGAAAAAAAATAAAAAAACAAAAACAACTAAATAGAACATTGTGTACCATCTAACACCTAAACAAAAACATGACCGTTCAAACCAGTGTCCAAAGTATTAGATGTCTTCATAATGGCCATCATATACTTCATGCCTTCAATACCATGACCAATATGTTGGAAATGGGTGGCCCAAAATTTCAAATTCGTTGCTTCATATATTACGCCGTCCTGAAATGAGTTTATTTAAATATAGCTTTAATAAAGGTACCAAATTTAACAAATAGTAAAGAAAAGACTAATAGTCATAAAACTTCTTGCTATTGCTGCTACTGCATGTTAAAGAAAGGTTGAATAACCATGACATAAATAAATTAGATTGAACTAAAAATGTAGTAAAAGGTAGTAACATGACATAAGGAGCTTATTTTTTTGCATGATGGAAGAAAAATTTAACTTGCACAAAACATGATCAAGATAGAGTAACTGACTAAAAGTCCCCTAGTCCATTTTTTCGAATTTTCTAAATCTTCACAACAACGGAACTAAACAAGCACCAAAATTTTAATATTCAAAGCCAAAAAAATTGCACAAAGGGAGCATGTCATATTCCTTCACATTTAGAAGTACCAACTCCCATATATCTTCACACACATGTTGCAAGTACATAATACAAATATGTTTGAAATGTAAACAAGATTTACTTCAATCAATTAAACACCAAATGCCCATGCACAACAAAAAGTCTCGAGAAACGAAAACTGTGAAATATCAAAGTCACTAGCAATCATAAACAGCTAATATTAAGTTAGCAAGTTTTGGATCATATTAAAGTAGAATGTGGTGATCACAAATATGTTTGGATCATATTAAAGTAGAATGTGGTGATCACAAATATGTTCTCCATGTATTTAAGTACTAATGAAGTAGCAAGTTACCAAGTCTACAATAGTAAGTTCTCCATGTTTTGAATAACTGCAACACAAGCAGTGCTTCCAGCACTCGGTCCATGGTAAGCAGATGTAGTTCCCTGCAGTTTGTTAAATATTTAGTAAGCCTTATGTGCAATAAAACCGTTGAAAGTAATTTCCCAACCAGGAAACCAAGTAAGATAGAGTTTATGTTCACTTGAGCATAACAAAGTATGGCGGTTAAGTGAAACATAGATTCATTTGAAAACAAGACCAGACCATGGAAAGTCATAATCAAAATTACATGAAACCAACAAAAGGGGTGAATGGGAAAGTAGATAAATAAGCTAAACTGTACAAGATCCGGTACCACTTATTTGTTCAATTTCCTTTTTTACAATCTAATAATACGTTCTTTGATAAAAATTGTACCACCCAAAATGGTCTAAAAAGCATATACAACAATTGTTAGCTTTGGTTCTATTTCATTCCTTTATTTGTTAAGCAATGCAGCTTTCAGAAACAAACAAAAAGGTTCATGCTAATAATAACTTTTATTGTATTACGTAAATATTTCATCAAGTAGCTCATTGGAGAAAGTTGGGGCAATAAAAGGAAATTGCACAGACCTCCTCAGAAGACCAGCAATCTGCCTGGCAAGTATCTTCACCAGTTGTCAGCATACTTTCTCCAATACCTCTACTTTTCTCTTTGCCTCTTAATAATGCTAACTCTTTATGTCCCTTCTTCTCACACATCATTTGATCCATTTTGCAAAAAATTAAGAATATAAAACAAGAAATAATTGTCAAATACCATATATATCATATATGAACAAATCTAGGCGTAAACAAATTATAACAACCTGAGAAAGGCCTTTCTAACAGAAGTACCAAGAGTACCAACTAAAAAGGATTCATCCTCCATCATCTGTCGATGGAGAAACTTGGCACAAAATTTTGAAACTTCTTCACCAGAGTAAAACAACACATTGTTCGTTAAATGACAGATTTAGCTACCATAAATGCACTAAAATAATGTTAAATGAACTTGAGGGTAAATAGTTCTCTCATTCACTATGCTCTCCAAATTGTATTCATAATCCAGAAAGCAGAATTAGCATTTACTTTGGAACAATTAAGAGTCCCATTAGGTATTAGGTTATTAGTGTAGTTCTCAAGTTTTGGAAGAATAGATCTTTTCGTTTGGTTTCAATCCATATATAACAGGGACCTTGGTATTCTATTCATTAAATTTGTTGACATAAATAAGACTAAAACTTCATTGTGTCAGTCCAACAGCATATGCATACAAACTATTTCATTATATTGCTTGAATTTTCTTATACTTCTACTTTTGAACCAGGGACTGAGCTCCTTATCAAGCAGACGCTTACACAGACTCGGAGTCATTAACCATCAGCAGTCAGGTCCTTAAAACATTTTCTTTTCTAGGGGAACAAATGACAAAAGTCAATAGTGAGTTATACTTAAAATCTATAAAGCAACAGACCAAGGAATCTATGAAATATAGAAGATGAAACTGATATACTTATAAAAAGCATAAGAATCTCATAAAGACAGAGAGATTATCAGATTTGTGTTTGTTTACCCCCATGGCCATCATAAACTCCAAAGAAAGAGGTTGAAACATCCAAATTAGTGAAAGCAGCATGCTGTAATTGTAATAACACAAGCCAAAAGAGGAAAAGAAATTAGAGATGATTAATTGAAATCTAACAAGTATGACCGAGAATTAACCTCCCAAATGAATAAAAAGTGCCGGCCTATCTCACGAGTATCAACAACGGGTCAAACAAAGTACTATAATAGTCATAAATCTAAATATGATTATTGTCAAAGATCATATGTCTTAAATACAGGAGATCCTAGACCCAATCAACTACTCATTTACAAATGATGATGAAAGTGAGTTCTCCATAAATTCATCACCTTATCTAGTTATAAAAATGTTTATATATTGAACTATGTTAACCAGAAAAACAGAATCTCGCCTCTTCAGTCAGTTTTCAATCAAATCCTCAATCAAATATCCCACAACACAATATTCGGTAAATACAAATATGACTATATAAGGTGCATAAGATCTAAAACTTTATGGAAATTAACAAGTTTTTGCCCCTCCATGTACAATTATATTGTACTATCAGGTCATACTTCTCACAAATGCTCATTCGCATACTATTTTTCTATGTCACGGAAGATTTTAAGATATAAAAGCATAGCAATCAGTCTAAGAGAAAAATCTCATCAAAGTGTTGATGTCATACTCATATGCAAATAATAATTAAAAAAAATAGCTATTTCAACTGATGAAGGCATAACCAGCACATACATATGTCCAAAATTAGAGACATCTAACTTACAATGCCTCTTTTCCTGAATTTAGGGAGGAATCAGGATGCTAGCCTTCATGTTGGTACATGTCAACAAATGTGGTATACAAATATAGAAGCCCTAGTCACGATTGATGTACAATGCATATAATATATACATAATACATCCACATCATAGAATAACACACATCTGTATGGATGAATTATAGTAGATAATAGCAACCAATGACAGAGATTATAAAAACTTTAAATGCATAGTAGAAATATTTACTTAATAATCCATAATCTAGA